TTCAGAAATCCCGTGCTCATGTCTTGCCCGAGGTCGTGCAGGAGACGCGTGGCAGATCTCAAGTCTCGGTTCAGGGCTGCAGCCTTATGATCAGTGTGTGCCCATGATGGCTGTGAGTTGAAAGATCCGTGGAACTCTGCAGGGATCTGTGTTTTCTTAGGTCTCATCCAGCACAGAGGCAACTGACTGGTTTAACTATCCTTGAATAATTGATGTGGCTGCTCTGGGTTGTCTTCTCTATGTGGATGTGCTGTTCTGGGGAAAAGTGGAAAAACATCTCTGCTTTGTGAGCAGAATAAGTGATAAAAAATTGTTTCTGGTGTACTTTATTCTGTAGCAGCTTTACAGGTCAAGCTCGCTGTCTGTTCCCAGGTTAGGCCCTTAATGCCAGGCAGGCATGTTTGCCTTATGCAAGGAAATGTGTGCATGCAGCTATTTCTAGGAGATTGTCTGATGCCTTCAGGTTTCCCCTTGTGTGCTGTGCTGATGGGCTAGAACTAAGCTGCTGGTGTGTCCCCATCACCTACAACTGCACAGCCCTGGGGGAACGACCTGCTGTGAGGACAAGCAACTCTGCTCTTATCTTTTTTTTTCCTTTTTTTTTCTTTTTGGGTCACTGAAAATGCTTTCTCCTGAAGTCTAGGGTAGGAAGCAACTGGACTCAGCAAGGTTGGGTTTTTTTCCCAATTCAGCCTGTACCCAGCTGGAGCCTAATACTTCCCTGTTCTTCCTCTCTGTTCCTTTTAAGTAACTATCCGCTGCCAACACAACGTGAAAACTTCAGGGTTTTGCCTTTTCTGGGATTCCCCTCCGGGGAGGTTAGTGCAACCTGAAGCTGAGCTCCAGCGTAATGCTGTGCTAGCTGGGATCACATCTCGCTTCCCCCAAGTGTCCTGTGGCTCCGTCTTCATTAGGAAGAGAAAGATGCATCCTGTGTCCAAACTTAAACCTACCCTTGATCATAGTATTTCTGGGCTGCTGCTCTCAGTGCCTGAAGGCGGTATGGAAGACACAGAGGCACCTCTCTCCCTCTGACAGATGCCCAGGGTTATTGCTTTGCATGTTCCTCATTTGCTAAACAAAACAGCCCAAAGACCAGGATTTTAATTCCCTGGCAATAAAGGGAAGAAGGTAAGGACTGGGACGGGCAGGATACAGGGCGGGCTTGGAGAGAGACAGAAACAATCAGCTCTTTCTTCAGCCACAAAGATTAGTTGAGATTTTGCTTTCTGTTATCTGTTTCCTTGATTGACTGACCAGAATGTTTTGATGCAAGGGGAGATGGTGGGAAAAGGGGTTGTTTTCAGAGCAGTCAGAACTGAGGAGAATTTGCATGTTTGGAGAGCAAGACCAGGTGTTTTTGGAGTTAGTGATAGCCACAGCCTGATCCTGGAAAATGCTAAGCATCCTTGGGCACCCACTGTGTGGATTCAGTAGCTCCAAGGGTCAGGGAAGCCCTCTGCCCGCTCCATGCAGCAGGCTGGTGACATGCTGGGAGTGGAAGGCTCTCCCCCAGCCTGGTGTGGTAAGGTTCAGGCAATGCCAGATCTGCTGCCTTCCTCGTCCCTTCACCTGCACTTCCAGAAGCTCAGGCAGTGCAGAGGAGATCCCAGGGAACCATGCAGAATGCCGCTGTCACCTCCTGAGGCTCCAGTCCCTCCACCTTCCTCCTCAGGGACAATCCCTGTTCAGGGATTGCAGTGAACAGGGGGCTGTGGGGATCTGCCTAGTTTTGCCCTGGGCTTCTGGTATCATACACCTAAAGGAAGGATGGGGCTCTGGGAGAAAGGGGGCAGGTGGAGTTACCTGGCTGTCTGAAAGTGGCACCTTGTTACTCTTGGTGAGGTGCCTTTGTGGAAAACTCTGCAATTCCCACTCCTCCTCCCCTCTCAGGTCACCTTCTGACTCCAGCTGACCGTCTCACTGGTGCCCTTGCCAGCCGGCCTCCATCCCCATCCTGTGCTTCCGGAGATACGCTCCCAGCGCCTGTGGGAGTGGGTCAGCCTGGCTCCCCCCAGGCTGCTGTGGCCACAGACCTGTTTTCCCGAGGGTGGCTCTACAGCAGCACACCGCCTAAGGCCACCCCAGGGCACTTCTCTGCTCGCTGCCCAGCCACCTAAAGCAGTCCTTGCACCTCCTGGGGATGGGCTCCCCCGGCTCCTCACAAACGTGAGGGTAAGGCTGACACTGTCTCCTCTGGTGTAACTGTCTCCTTTGGGCTCAGAAACCACAATAATGATGAAAGCAGCTGCCTGTCTTATTTTCATGGGGAAATAGAAGACAGGACTGGGATGATCTGTGCTGTGTGAGGAGGGAGAAGCAGGCTGGGGAAGTACAGCCTTAGGGATCCAGTTGCTCGTTGAAGGTTGTACCTCTTCTGTACCATGGAAATCTGATGGATATGGTAGCCCTTGTTCAGCAAGCTCGGAAGAACCAGCTGTCTCATTTGGTTTTATGAGTGGTTTTACAGGCAGTCTTGCCACAGTGCCAATCGGTATATGCCAGCACTTCCCTCCAGGATGGCCAAAACTGGGGAGCCTCTGCTGAGTCAGACACACCTGCTGTCCCCAGGACACAGACAGGGAAATCTCTGCTACTGTGCCTGTGTTTTGGGGCTGGAGGGTGTTAGCTCCTCAGCAGTTCAGACACTGTCCCGCTCTTTTAAATACTTCTGTTTGCAGATTTGTGGAGGATGAGGGGACTAACAAACGTGGCTTGCATTTTTGGCAGCAGCTTTAATAAACTGAAATGACCTTGAGGAAGGCTTGTACATGTGTGAGAGTGATCACACGTGTGTGTCTGGTGTCAGTTAGGACCAGTTTCCTAAGCGCAGTCCTGTCCCAGGTTATGCCCATGTGGATGTAGCTGCACAGCCCTCTTGCCCTGGAGAGCTGATTGCTGCCAGTCCGGGGGTCTGCACGAATCTGCCTCTGAAGATGAATGTCCCCTGATCCCAGGCTTTGAGCGTTGTTTGTAGCTGGTCTGCAGTCAATAGTGCCCTGTTCCCAGAATTTCTCTTCTTTCATGTCTAAGTTTGGGAGCCCTGTTCCTGATGGGAGCTGGGTTCTGCATGTGAATTTCCATCTTTATTTCCACTCGAACCCTATGGGGCAGTGCTG